CGAGTACTTTTCAGTCCGGCACGAGTACGTCGAGAAGACTGGAAAACGTAGTCGTCATGGCCAGCGGCGGAGACGACGAGTACTCTTGGGGAGATTTCACGAGGACCTGGGCTCATGCGAGACACCAGCAATCGTGTTTAGCTGATGTTCAAGCTGTGAGTACTGCACTGTACTGTACTCATCATTCGTGTCGAAAAAGCAAAAAGAAAATTTAGTTCAGTAAATAGAAAACACAGATGCACTCTCTCTCTATCTCTCTCTCTCTCTCTCTCTCTCTCTCTCTCTCTCTCTCTCTCTACAACGATATCCAAGGGTCCAAATAATAATTCGTTGTAGGGAGGATTTCGTTTTAGAGAGCCCATGTAACATCGGGAGAGAATCCTGTTGAGAAAAAACTTGAGAAAAAAATCGTTATGCAGAGAATGTCGTTGTATAGACAAGATCAGTGTAGAACTGTAGATAGATAGAGAGAGAGAGAGGGTCCACTTGTAATAAACGATTTGTTACGATTAAGCTGTCTGAAAAATTCTCAAATAATTTTAAAACAGCTGTAAACTGAATCAGAACATGAAAGCTGTTGTTTAAATGAATGAATGACATCAAGTTGTGCAAGAAAAGGGTGTGCAAAATCGAAAAAGGCCATTATATTGTTCCATGAATATCGATGTATTTTAATCAGTTCTCGTATTAAAAAAAAAAATGTCTNGTGTGTGTGTGTGTGTGTGTGCGTGCAGATAATTACGAACAATCTTCGAATTTTTTTTGGAGATATTTTTGTGTGCAAGTGAAGAAGAGGAAACGCAGAAACGGGTTTGATTGCGGTTTTTTCATGACTGATTAAACTACCGAACACGACCACTTTTATGATCGTTTGCTTCCCAAGAATGTTTTTTAGTCTTGCCAAAAAGAAAACGGTTAGTTTTTGCGATTGAAAAATGAGTCTTGCCTTTTCCAAGATCTGGAATCTTTTTTTGCTTTTGTTGCGAAAAAATCGTCAATTTCGATTCGGGAAATCCGCAGCTGATCAGAAAAGAATCGACTTTTTGGGAAATGAAGCGAAGATGCATTTCTTCGAAAACAAGTGGGTTAGGGAAAACTTTTATTTTTTAATACCGTTTTTTTTGTGGTGTTGTAATCGTTGCTTGCCGAAGCTGTGATTTTTCCACAAGAGTTGATGCCGTGGAATGAAAGCGTTTGAATACAAGAAGCGTTTCTGATATATTCAAATGCGTTTGGTTTTCTTCCAGTTTTTGAACAAATGCGTGCGAATTTTGATTGTTTTGCTTTTGACTTCTTTTATGCTTGTCTAATCCTCTTACAGAAAAGTTATTTTGGGGACCACCATTCGAGAGCCACTTCAATGGTTTTTTTTCGTAAGAATGTGATTTTTGTGAGTTTTTTCCCAAGAAAAAATTTGGAAATATCAAGTTTTTTCTTGAAAACCCGTGAACTAGGTTTTCCAGAGAATTTTGCAATAAAATATGACGAGTGATTGAATAAACTGCTTTTATTAGAAACGAATAATACATGACATCTCTGTTCTTAATCTTTGAACGGTTTCGATTATCATTGCTGTACATGATTTCCTGTCAATAAGAAATATTTTTGATTTTGTTGCATAAATACTTTCTGGAAAAGTGATTGATGCAAACTAATACTAGAAATTAAAATCACATTTCAGCAGAAACAAACGCTAACTTGCTAATCACGAAAATGCTTGCTTCCACTTGAAAGTATTATAGAATTATACAGTTTTTTCATGGAGTTGAGAACAACCAAATATGGTCACGAAATTAAAACATTAGATCCAGGAAAAATAAAAGTTGAGCATTTCTTCATCTTTTACCCCTGAAAAACGTTATGTTTTTGCAAACTGCGACAGCTAATTTTTGATACGAATTTACGACTGTATCCAGGTCTAATCAAGATCTTTGGATGAACCCTATATAGTTATTGTACGCAAAGTTCGTTGACGTAATGGATTCATGTAAAATCGAACCCAAATCCTTCATTCCCCATCCAAAATGAATTATTTCCACCTCTGGATCCTGTTCCGAACTTCATCAACCGCTTCATACAAACTCGCGACAGGTACCTTGATTAATTTATAAACTTCAAGCATTTATTTGAGTCATCAATAAATTGAGAGCATACTTTTCATGGTTCCACTATTTATATCGGGGGAAATGTTTTTGTTGCAACAACGGACACGATTAAGCAGGGGAAGTTTTTCAATCCAAGTGAAGTAAATCGAAAAATATTAATAATACTGTTTTCGAGTACTTGAATATTAATAATTTATTTCACTGTATTTCACTTGGATTGAAAAACTTTCCCTGTTTACTCGTGTCCGTTGTGGCAACAAAAACATTTTCACCGCATAAATTTGCAGCCAACCTGTCTGGTGATATGAAATAATACATAATTGCACGTTTTCATAACATCTAGCTTGCATGACTGCAACTTAGAAAAATGCAATGCTCAAAAGAAGTGAGCAGATTTTGAAAAAAACTTGACGCGGAGACCAAAATACAATCTTGTAACCATGATTGGGACTTGAGGCTATACACAACAGCGATCACTGACTGCCTTACTTTTTCAGAACAAGAAAATTACAGCAGTGCATCTGCTATTCAGAGATGAAATCATACATATTCCATGCTATTTTTTGGCATTATATTCAAGCGCGGTATTTAATAGTGAACATTAGGAAAATGCCCGTTTTGCTACCTATACTGATTTTGTCATCATTCTGTTGTTCAAACAAAGCAAGTTTCTACGATGACAGCTCACATGGCATGTTTCCAAATCCTTAAAAAAATGGGGTCAGCCAGTGAATGAGGGCCGGTACATAACTGGAATATATATTGTTAAAATGGACTCTAATGACCAATTTTTTTTTATTCAAATACTGTATGACATTCTTGACCTCATGATGTAAATTTTTGGGGCACCATGCTTTCATCAGAAAAATTGCTTGCAAAATAGTCAGCCTGGGAATGATCATTTATGAAGACTTTATTCTTTTTGTGTGTTGCACCAACTGTTCCTCTCCTTTTTGGTGGTTGGGGACTCGCTGCACATCCCTGTCGGAAAAATCAATTATAAATATTTAATTGGGTGGAAAACCAACTGCGTGTAAAAAATGGATGAAATCCGTCAATGGCTTTCCACTCCCCAGAAAAAATTAAACTTTCTTGGTGCCAAGATGTCTGTCTTGGCGCCACGACGTCTTTGATTACCTTTTTATTGGCCAATCCCAGGCCTTCAAGATTCTCCTGCCCTTGACCAACTCCCCTTGATCAAGGACCAGAGAAGAAATTAATAAATACCCCGGTTTTATCAAAAGACAGTACACAGTTCAATCTTACTGCTGGAGCAGTGCGTTCAGAGGTTTTCTGAGAGGTTTTTTGTTATATAAATATTTATCTATTTTCCAAAACTTGTGTTGTGTGTTACTATTTTCAAGCATTTAACTTGGGACATTTTGAAATATACTCTAATTTTAACTAGGGATTCCACCGTGAATTCCCGGCCCCTGTCCCGGGCTGATTCTGTGTTTTCTTTAAAAACCTATTTCTAAAAACTCTTCTATTCAGCACTTTCTTGTTGCGGTGACTTCTGTCCCCAACATTGGTACTATAAGTATGGTAAAAAACTACTGTATTTACTCAAGTACCAAGTGTCCTCAATAAATTGTAAAGTACACCATGGTTTTTCAGTAAATAAAATAAAATGAAATTCTACCCTTAGCTCAAGTAAGATGCGCAGCCCATTTTTAGTAACTCTAAAACTGCGATTTTTCAGAAATAATGACACTCAAATTCGGATAAAGGCATGGCTTTATCCTGAATTCAACTAAATTTCCATCATTTCCATTGCTGTGAGTTATTCTATTGAAATTGGTTCAAAATTTTCCATTAGAATCATATATAATGCACACCTAAATTTCTAAAACTTTTAAAAACTTAAACCCATTTCCGCCTCTCAATTAAAACAAAAAAGTGCGTCTGGTACTCCAGCAAATTTTGCTTAAAAAATCAGAATTTCATCTAATACTGTCTCTAATTTCTTCCAGTTTGTTTTGTCTTTGTCAACCTAACGTTATATATGCTTTACTCAACGCCATGAACACCCGTTTATTACGTCTTTAGAAGAGGCCCCACTCTAGGCGTCCTTCCTTGTTTTCGTCTGGTGTTTTCTAACACCAAGTGGGGTATACAGAACTGATTTAAATAATGTCCTCAGTAGAGGAAGAAGAAAACCCGTGGGAAACCTTCACGCAGCTGAACTCGTTAAACATGAAATGTAGTAAAGGATAAGATAGCTACCATTTCATGGGGAAAAGTTCAGTGAGGAGAATGACGTCATTGGGATCTTATATTGTATGTAGGGAAAAAAAAGGATGGAGTTTTATTCATGATGGTGAGCAACAAGCAAGTGTCCTGGGCAATGAGCCCTACGGCGCAGGATCCCACAGACCGCGAGAACTTCAACGCCCATAAACGGGGGTCTATAAAAACCTCGACACTCGACAGCCGTCGTCGACAGTCGGCGTCTGACCACGGACCGAACAGAAGAAAGAATAACTAAAGAACTTGTATATACAGTAAATTACTCAACAATTCTTCGATAAAGACGAAAAAAGAAAAGGTCTGACCCTCGATTTGTGACTGATCGATCCTCGCCGAACAACGCAAATGTCGACCTGGTTTTGGCAAAAGCCGTCGTCGTCGCATTTTTTCCGCATGGATTATGAATACAATTTACGAGAAAAAAATTATCAGAAAGCCGTTTCAAGACAATCGATTCAATCCCGATAAACGTGGCAATTTATTATTTGTTTTAGGTTCTAGAAAGTGGAAACTTATAGTCCCTGCTAAAAAAAATTGTGCGTGGAGAAAAGAGAATTCGTTCGAGACACATGCGCTCTGTTATTGTAACTGTGTTGCAAGTCATTTCCAAAATTTAAAAACGGATTTTCTCTCTCTCTCAATTTCATTTGAAGAATTCCGATCGACTATATTCGGGTCGTGACGATCATCCAAAACTGCTGCTGACGTGAACGGCATCTAACGCAACTTCACGGTGAGTTCAAACTTTTTTCCAGGTTATATATCGAACATTTTTGATTTTTGAATTTAAAATTTCTAAATTTCGGCTCTTTCAGCTTGATTTAGAAATATAAGCTGATTTCCATTCCAAAGAGCTGCATTCATTTCAAGAAGAACTCTTTTCAACACACAGATGCGAGGGAAGAGCAAAATTACGAACGTGTCTTTATTGTGGCTGATTTTAATATCATGCATGTTTTTATTTAAAAAAAAAGCTTTCTTCCCCACAAACATTTTTTGAACACAATCGGGCCATTTTGTAAATTCTGACATGTTAGATTCGAAAGTGAATTACGTGGTTCTTTCTGATCAACACAAATTTTTTTTGGTGAAAATTATCCGGGTTTAATTGAATAAATTTTTACTTCCGACTTCAATTCAAGAGCAAAATACAGATGGACTCTCTCATCTGCAACGATCTTGTCTACATCGATTTTCTCTGTTTAACGAATTTTGATTTGCTCCCATATACAAAATTCCTTCACCATCTTGTAGAGATTCTCTACAGAGAAATTCTCTCCATGGCGATTTTTTTTTACCGTTTGAATTCGTTATCTGTAATCGGAAGCCTCATCTCATTTTGGAAGTGTTTGAGAAAATTCCAGTGTGAATAGAAACGAAGAATTTCTCGGATTCCCAAAATATGTATTGGAAGAAAAGTCACATTCGCGATCAGAATGGTTCTTTTTATTTTCTTAGAAAAAAAAATGCAATATAGGCATTTCTCAGATTCGATCATCCGAGTAAATACAAATGTCCATGGAAACCATGGGACAAATGACGGGTTGTAAATAACATGAAAAAATAATACACTTCTGACATCTAATAAAAGTAACAACGTTATCTTGTGGCACGCAGAACAAAATAACTCATTCTGGGTTAATCAAATCTCATTTGATTCGTATGCCCACCCCGAAAACGTTCCGGTATTCCCGACGCACAGCCCATTTATGAAGTCACATACTGGAAGTCACACATGTCACTTATTGTCCTGTTTCTGCCAGAAACAATAAATATACTTTTGCAACGAAAAAAAGGAACAGGTTTAAAGGTCACTTTCGTAACCTTTTGGATAGCTCAACCATCAGAGCGATCAATACGCCATGGGCATAGCGTTTGGCTTTACTGTGCAAAATCCGAGCCCTCAAACTTGTCCGCCGCCTCGCATTTCATGAATTACTTGAAACCCCCCGCGTTATTCGCATATCCAATGTTCAGGACTGGGATTTCTTGTACAATTATTTTCAGCATAACCCGTTTCCGATTCACTCTTTGGCTCAAAACGGTCACTTATTTTACGATTTTCTAAATGCTGCTTGAATAATATGCACGCAATTGACGGCCGAGGAATCCGGCAATTTCGTGAAATCATCTCTTTAAAAGGCATGTTTGCGTCATCATGAGCTGAATGCCTGATGCTTTCAAGTACAGTAGTTTTCAAATAATCGTGCGTCGTAGAAAAAAAAATTGTAGTACTGATGCATTGGTTGATGGTATTGTTACTCCATGGAATGAACCATCCTTTTATTTATTTTGTATATTAATAATTTGGTTTTAAAATGTAAGAACAGAAGAAAAACAGAAACATACATGGCCCATGAAATGCGATTGAAACTTCGATGAGGGACATTTACTCAAGACTTCACATTCCTTTTTTTCTGACGGAAGAAGTAAGAAAAATTTTTGAAAGGCCCACGTATTTTTGTTATTTATTGCTGTGCTACTCGTCGTTCGAAACATTATTTTTCATCTTTGAGCAAATAATTTATTGACAGTTTTCAATTTTTAAATGCTGGGATTGCAGATAGCAAATCGATCTGTTCTTTTGCGTCTTGATGAAGTTCTGGTTGAGTTTAAATGTTCTTTTTAATGCTCTCTCTCTCACTCTCTATATCTTCGAAATTAAAGTTCGGATTGAATAAAATTGGTCATTTCATTCCAGGTTCAGTGAATTTTGAGGGGGAAATTAACCAGTTTTGAGTTGAGATTTGCAGGGTTTTATCTTGTTTGCTGATGCCAACTTTTTGAACCCAAAAACAGATTTTTCAAGAAATCTTGAATAGACCATCGTAGGTCCAAAAATGAATATGCCTTTGTTGCGATGGTTCACATGCACTGTAAAAAAATTTTAGAGGTGTAATTTTGCAGTGAAATGAAAAATTGCATAAAGAATCTGATGAAAGTTCCATGTAACACAACTCCTATACATGGAAACAGAATTTATTTGCATAATGAGATTTTCAAGCGAAATAATCGACTCAAAAAAGGCACGGATTTCAACTTTCAAGAAGTTACTGCAGAAAATTCCAAAATGTTCGTCAACGATTGAATTACTTTAGATATCAATATTTTTTCAAAGTAATAATAAGGATGCAAAATTCATCCAACGACACACAAGTATGCCACAATACGTAACCCATTATTGTTCCACCTTATTACAAAGGAAAATGCACAGACTTGTTCAAGCATTCGGTTTCCGGGTTACATGCATTTGTGAAAAAGATTTCCAGGGCGATAACCGTAAGTCTCAATCCATAACGAGTTCCACGATGACCTGGTTCCGAAAAAAAATGACTTCATTTCTCCAATAGAATAGCGGAAGGAAATATAAACTGATTGTGAAAATGCTTCGATTGCTTTTTCCGGTCCAATAAGTTGCCTCTATCAAAGATAAACATCAGTCGTTTCCGATGGTGCAAATATTGCTTGACCTTTCCGGAGGTCGTTTTGGTTTTTTTTCCCTTCTTTCGGATTTATTCGAATCGATCACTCGCGAGAACATTGACCGAAATTACGCATGAGAAAGTCGTGCAGAAATGAGTATAATGCGGGTCCATGAATCGCAAGTGCGATTTTTGCAGGATTGAATCATGCATTACGAGCAGGGATTTTCAGTTTCGGTCTTCCATCCACTGCTACGTGACGGAAAAAGATACTTAATCCATTGGATGAAATCAGGCAGGGAAAAAAAAGAAAGGGGGGACGTTGGAAAGAAAAGGGCTGAGAATGAGCTGGCGAATAACAAAGATTCGCCCTTGCGCTAAAATAAGAGAAAGGCACTAGGACACCTGCGCTCGGTCCCACGCTTTATTGGCACACATCAGCGCCTTGCATTTGCATGCAAATTTCCCGCGCACTTTTCGCTTCACACGAGCAATAATCGAAGGAAGCCGTGCGACGGACTTGAAGCTTGAAAACACGCGGAGAATTTTGACAGAATTTCAAGCCATTCAAAAAAAAAAAATAAATAAATTTGAAGGAATATTATCAGCGAACGTCGAGGTTCTGGAATTTGAAACCTTTCAGACTCTTGTTTCCCCAAGCCTACTGCTCTAATCACTATACATGCGGATGATAACTTTTTTTTGTTCGTTTTACATGTAAAGTTTACATCCTTGATACAATTATATTGAACGAACTACGATGATTTATTCTGCAACCCCGAAAATATAAATTTCATCTTTATCATTTAGAATTCGATTTTCTTGAAGTGATTTTCGATTCTCAAGAATCTTAACTAAATATTTGTTTGCTAGAAATATTGCAGTTTCAAAATATTGATTCTTTTGTAGAAAGTACATGCAAACCGTAATTTCCTTAATTATAACCCAAGCAAAATTGAAGAAATTTTTATTATTTGTGCCATTGAAGAAAAGCCAAGGATCAACTAATACGGTGAAGTATTTGTAAACAGAAAAGATTCTTCGAGAGCTATGGTCAAAAGAATGATATAATAAATTCCTTCGTTTCAAAGTTTCCAAGATTATTTCAAAGGAGACGTAAGCAATTATCGCACGCAGATCTTCGAATATAAATTCTTGCACATATTATTGAAATTAAAGGTACATGTGAAATAAAGGCACAGCAGTAGCTTTTAGTGATACTTGCGAAGCGCAGGTTGATTAAATGATCGGAAAAAATCTTGTGTAAACATGTAAAGTATGAAAAAACGAGTCATCAATTGATCAGATTCTCACATATTCTGATTTCTAAAACCAGTTGGGCGGTACTCAAAATTAAACTTTTCTTATGCCTATATGTGCGAAATTATGTTCTACAAATTCTTTCAATTAACCATCAAATTCAGGCTTTAGACGATATACAGTACAGGTGGACTCTCTCTCTACAACAAATATCAGGGGACCAGAAACAATTCGTTGTATATAGAGAATTTCGTCGTCGTGGATCCCTTAGATATATGGCAGAGACTCCGAATAATATGGAACCAAAATAAAATTCGCTGTGCAGAGAAAATCATTTTGGAAAATATTTTTTGTAGAAAGAGTCTATACCTCTGTACAGTATATTGAGATTCAGCAAGCAGGCAACCAAATAATGCGGGAATCCAATTCAAAATATATATTATGAATTTTTATACCACTTATTTGTAACAAATAAAAAAATTCAAAAAGCCCGAGGAGTGTGCTGCTTGACGACTTCGGTAAAGTTCGAAAGTTTATGGTCCACTCAAACTTTTTTCCAGTACCAGAAACAATTCCCACTTTCCGTTTTACCTTATAATCGCGTCGAAAAAAAAAATTCGTTACGTCGGTTTTTCAGCGATCTACCTTTTTCTCGATTCCAACTTTTCCAGCAAAGTACTGGAATCGCAGGTCAAAAGGTCGACATTTCTTTTTTCAATATCCAATCCAAACGCGATGCATACATACAATACATTCCCGGGATTGTAAACTAGTTCAAAGCGAGTGTTGACTGGAACAGGTACTCTTATACAGTACATACAGAATAGTGATTATGTACTGTACTTACGTTGATATCGCATTTATAAAAGAAGCATACATTTCATACGCGCATCCAGGATAAATGCCCAGTTCTTTAGCCAAACATTTTCTCATCCGCAACGTCGTCTGAATAAAAATTATGCACATTACCATGAGATTTCTCCACACAGCATCTACTTATCAGAGACAGTCACAATTTTTTTCGGGATTTCTGTGAATAATCTTCAATAAG